CCTCCCCCCTCCCCAGAGTGTGGACGACGATGCCAGCACCCACGACCGGGTGCTCTGGGCCATGCACATCAGCGGCACGGACGACCTGCTCAAGTTCCTGGCCAGCTCGCCGGCCGAGCAGCAGTGGGGCCTGCACGTGCTGGAAATCGTCTCGCTCATGTTCAGGGACCAGGTGAGCCTGGGCGGGCGGCAGGGGCAGGGGCAGGAGCTGGCTGGATTCATGCATGTGTGGGCGGGGGTGCAATGTACAGCAGTGGGTCGTACCAAGGGCCGGGGGGAAGATGCCTTTGTGCTCCAGAGGGGCTGCATTGGCATCTCTCCAAGAAGTCCATCGTGGAGCAGCTGGCCTCAACACCCCTCTCCACAGGCCATCTTGGTAGGGCTCAGATCCTTCAGCCTGCACACACGCCCCTCACTCCCTTGTGCAGGGGGATAGGAAGAGCCGGGTGCTCCAGCGAGGGAGCAGGTGAGCCAGGGGCTGCGGCTGACTCCTCGCTCCAGGGGTCTGAGCCACCCCAGGGGCTGGGGGAAGAACTGGCCCCCTCCCCTCAGAGAAGTAGGCTTGAAAACAGCCTGGCCCCAAGGATTTGGGGCTTTCTACACCGTATAGATCTCCATGATGCACCGTCTCTGCAGGAAGAGCCGGGTGCTCCAGCGAGGGAGCAGGTGAGCCAGGGGCTGCGGCTGACTCCTCGCTCCAGGGGTCTGAGCCACCCCAGGGGCTGGGGGAAGAACTGGCCCCCTCCCCTCAGAGAAGTAGGCTTGAAAACAGCCTGGCCCCAAGGATTTGGGGCTTTCTACACCGTATAGATCTCCATGATGCACCGTCTCTGCAGGCGGCTGGGGGTTGGTTTCAGGGGGACCAGCAGAGCTGGGGGGAGGAGGGAGCCCAGAGCTGGGTTGGCAGGGGCTGTGGGCTGGGGGGGAGGGGCACCAGCAGGGCTGTGGGAGCCCAGCAGGACTGGCAGGAGCTGGGGTCAGTGCTGAGGGGTGCTGAGCTGTGGGGAGCTGCTCTGGTGCCCACCTTTCCCATGCCCCTCAGTTCAGAGGGCACCCTGCTCCTGTGTGCTGGAGGCTGCTGCCCTTTGGCATGTGGGGGGCTGCAGCACGATCCCTCCCCCTGCCCGGCAGTGATGACTCCGGCGGCCTGGCTCACTCCAGCCCCTCTCCCCCCCCAGGCACTCCCGGTTCGGCGGCTCCTATGTGGTCCAGGGGCTGAAATCCCTCGGCGACAGGGACCTGGTGTTCCACAAGGGGCTGCACAATGTAAGTGTCTGGCCCTCCCCCCGTCCGTCTGGCTTGTAACAGGGGAGGAGAGCTCCCTGTATGTTGGGGGTGGGGGGCTGAGGAAGGAGCAAGGCCCCAGAGACGTTCTGACAGCAGCGTGGCTGCTCCATCGTGGCCCGAGGCTGCTTGGATCCCCCGGCCGCTGCCCCTGGGGTTGAGGAGAGCGGGTCTCGTGTGGGAGCCGGGCTTGGTAGGTCCCACCACGGAGGCACCGGAGTGAGCACCTGCCCTGCCA